TTTTAAGTTGTTCATATCACTTGCTGTTGCTGTTCCGAACAATGATTTCGATATCTCACCAATAAAGTCAAACAAACCTCTTTTTGATCTCCTGGAGCCAAATGTTATGGTTTTTGGGAAGTAAGAATGAGGGATAAGCTGATGAAGTTTTGTGACTGTGGAGTTGATACTAGCCATACATTGCATTCTCAAGGCGTTAAGAGTTTTCAAGACCACATTTGCAGGTTCACATTGTTGACTGCTACACTGAAGATCCCCATGAAGGTATACTCTAGACGGGAGTGGGACTTCAAAAGTGTGTGACCAGTATTCTTGACCAAGATGAAGTTTAGCTGTGGGGGTAAAGAGAATTCCATAGTTCAGTCTCTGAACTAATGATGGTGATGGTGCATTATCACCGGCCGCAAATGGGAGAATCACAAGGGTCATCACCGCAAGTAGGCTCAACAGAGGAGGAAGTCCAAAGATACCTAAGGAGAAGTAGACAGAAAGGATAAGATTAGCAACTTGTATGCCGTTATGAGATGTTGCAATCATCTCAAAGCACTAAATAAACAGACTTTGTATCTATTTAAATCTTAGCATTAAGTATGCTTAAGGAGAAGAATTAGATGGAAAATAAAGGAAAGGAATACCGGTAAAAGATATCTATGGACTAACCTATTTTGTGTATGATTTATTGCCGTGAAAAACAAGTCAGTTTTGACTGTTTACCCTTTTTACGAGCTTTCCCTGATTGCGTTTTAGTGATATGAAATTCACGAACCATGGCAGGGGGTAGGTTTTCTACAGGTTCCCAGGTTCGAACTAAATGACCAAGCCATTTCACACGAAATTCCTTGACACCGTTTCGAAACTTGTACTTTATAAGTTTTTCAATCGGGTAAGATTGCTGGTCATCCTGAGAAGCATTTGGGTTGGTTGGGTTGGTTGGGTTTGAAATGGGTTGTTGGACTGGTATGGGTTGTGTTGACTGATCAGCCGGTATGGTTGGGTTGGGTTGGTTTGTTTTGGGGTTAGGAGGGTTTGGTTGGGCTGAACTATCCGTAGGTGTTGGGGTGGATGAGGATGAGATCTGAGAAGACTGGGTTGGTTGGGGGAATTGGTCCGGGTTATCGACAAGTTGGTTTGTTGGGTTTGAGGGATCTGGTACTCGCTGATTTTCTGGGACATGAGGAACATATGGCGGACATGGTGGGGGATTCAAACTAGGTCTGTTGTCTGGGTTTGTATACAGTTTCAATCGATTGGCATGAATGAGAGATTTGACTTGTTTTTGCGTATTGCAGCGTCGGAGCTTATACGTGTGATTGGGACCTTTGTCGACAATGTAGTATGGTCCATCCCATGGATGGTGTAGCTTTGGTGACAGACCTTTGGGTACTTTAGGGGAATGGAGCATAACCAAGTCATTGACTTGGAATTCAGGTTCTGAAGCCTTTTTGTCGTATTGCTTTTTTTGTTTGGTTCTGGCCTCTGTTATGTTCTTATTAGCTGTTTGTCTAACATACTTGAGGTGATCTATGAGCTGGGTGACATGTGTTTTCGCATCTTTTCCAAGACCATCTTTTGGGATTAAGGCAGTATCAAAAGGTAAATTCATTTCCTTACCAAACAACATCTGGTATGGTGACATATTAGATGCTTGAGTTGATGGTGACATTCTAAAAGCCATTAGAATACCTGAAAGAAACTGAGGCCAGTCTTGTTGATTTTTATCAACATATGCTCTCAAGCACTGGGCAATTGTACTGTTCATGCGTTCACATGTAGAGTTGGTTTGGGGATGATATGAACTTGTAAAGTGTCTAGTCACTTGGAAGATTTCACACACAGCCGTTACAAGTTTACTCATAAAATTTTGCCCTCTATCACTGACAATAGTGCTTGGAGCACCATACCTGGAAAATATTTCAGAGTACAGGACTCGGGCGATTTCCTTAGAATCTTGTGTTCTGAGAGGAAATGCTTCTGGCCATTTGCTAAAGGAGTCCACAACAAGAAGAATGTACTTGTATCCTTCTTTTGTCGTTGTAATGGGTCCTAAAATGTCCATGTGAAGTCGTGAAAATGTCTCACAGATAGGCATGTTTGTTAAGGGTGCTTGCTTCTTGTTTGCAGACTTTTTTATCCGTTGACATGCGTCACATGACCTGATGTAGTCAACAGTATTCTGAAACATTTTAGGCCAATAGTATTTTAGTTGAATGGCCTTGTATGTCCTATCGATCCCTAAGTGCGCTCCTCCTGCTTGACAGTCATGATACGACCTAAGAACATCTTTCCTAAGACATCTAGGGACTGCAAGCTGACGAAGAGGAGTATGCTGAGTATCTCTTTTAGGTGCAGGTGTGTACAGGTGGTATAGAGTGTCATCAAGTAATACATACTGACTGGAAAGAGCAAGGATTTTGCTAGCTTGGGCCTTTGATGTTGGTAAATGTTCTGTAGCTAAGTATTTGTATATGTCTACAAAATCTGGACATTCAGACTGAAGTTTACCAACTGATCCAGAAGTGGAAGGGTCTGAAATGGCAGTTTTGGGGGTACCTTGGGTTGTATCACTGTATAGAAATGTGACCTGTTGAAGTGAGGACTCTACATGTAGACCAACAGATGACACTTCCGGATGAGGAGCCATGTCTTCTAGTGCCTCTTCTGCAGTAGGAGGTTGGACTGGGGGATATAGTCGCCTAGAAAGGGCATCAGCCACTTCATTTGTCTTACCTGTTTTATACAAGATTTCAAAGTCATAACCCTGTAAGAGTACAGCCCACCTAGCTAACCTACCTGTTGTCTCTGGCTTTATATCCTTCATCCATTTAAGAGCACTATGGTCAGTATATACCTTGAAGTGTTTTGAAGCTAGGTATACATGATATGTTTTTATACCTTCAACTATTGCAAGGCCTTCTCGTTCTGAAATGGAGTACTTACGTTCATGCTGGTTCAGAGAACGTCCACCATAGGCAATAACACGCTCATGTTTGTTTATGTCTAACTGACCTAATACATACCCAATGGCATTCCCGGAGGCATCCGTCGTCAGAATGAAGGGTTTCGTGTGATCAGGGTATGCCAGTATTGGTCAAAACTTGCTTGAGCTGATCAAATGATTTTTGACAGGACTCTGACCATTCAAACTTAACATCCTTCTGGAGTAGTCTGGTTAATGGAGATGCAATTTTACTATAGTTTTTGACAAACTTCCTATAGTAGTTGCATAAACCTAAGAAAGATCTGACCTGTTTTTCAGATGTGGGGACAGGGTAGGCAGCAACAGCATCTGTCTTAGATTTGTCAACTTCGACTCCGTCTTTAAATACCACATGGCCTAGATAATGAACCTTACCTTGAGCAAAGGAACACTTGCTTGGTTTGAGTGTTAGCTGTGCCTGCCTAAGCCTATCAAAAAATTCTTGTAAGTTTTGCAAATGAGTCTCAAATGTACGGGAGAACACTAAAATATCATCCACATACACAAGACAGGTTTTCCAATTCAAACCATTCAAAACTTTGCACATAAGAGACTGGAAGCTAGCCGGGGCATTAACAAGCCCGAATGGCATTCTTTTCCATTGATAGACTCCGGCAGGGGTCACAAATGCTGATTTGTGAGCAGTTTCAGGGTCCATGGGGATTTGCCAGAACCCAGAGGCTAGGTCAAGTGTAGAAAAGTATTGCGCTTTTGAATCCCCAATAGAGTCAAAAACATCCTCAAGACGGGGAAGAGGAAAGGTATATTGTCTGGTGACAGCATTTAGTTTCCTGTAATCTACAGCGAAACGTAACTGGCCATTTTTCTTTTTGACCATGACAACTGGACTCTGCCACATAGATGTGGATTCTGTAATGATGTCATTCTCTAACATTTCTTTTACCTGCCTTTCAGTTTCAGCTTTGACCTCAGGATTTTGACGATAAAAGCGTTGCCTTATGGGAAGGGCATCCCCTGTTTCAATCCTATGTGTATGCTGAGATGTATGGCCTAATTGTGACAGATCTGTAGCAAAGACATTTCTGTTTTGTTGAAGAAAGGTCTGAAGAATTTGTGTTTGGTTTTCAGAAAGATCAGAATTGTCTAAGTCAAAGGTAATAGGATCAGATGTCTGTGTAGCCGAGGAAGATGGGGATGAATTTGTGGCATCTACAGGTGTGTCAAGGGACATGACAAAGTTTTCAGCAATGACGGATGCAAAACCTATCACAGTTTCAGGTGAAAGTGTGACTTGTTCTTCAGAGGGATTCATGACCTGGACAACGCAAGTCTGATTTGACCGAATGACTGAAACACACTTAGCTCCTACTAGTCCTATTGAAGGTAGTTGGTGAACGGGTTCAAAAAGTACGTTTGAGTTTGGTGGTAGGTCTTGTACCGTAACTGTAATATTGTTTATCGACATTGGGGGAAGATTGTAGTGATATGTGGTTTGAGCCAAAGACACCTCAGTGTGAATAGAAAGAATTTGATTCGTTTCGGGATTTTTCAAAAATAAAGTTTTCCTTTTTATGTCAATAACAGCTTCATGTTTGTTTAAGAAATCTAAACCAAGAATTAAAGGAACATGGAAGGTTTCAAAGACATGGAGGTCAGCCATGAAACTGCATTCTCCAATTGTAATAGGGATGGCTATTTTTCCGAGACTTCTATGTGACTCGCCTCCTGCAACCACTGCGGTCACAGCTGAACACTGTTGTATCTGTGTACTTGTGTCTACCTTTAGCTTATTTAATAAAGATAATGTGACACAGGAAATTGTAGCTCCTGTATCCACCAGCGCTTTTACTAGTGAATCATACAACTCTACACTAACAGTATTTCTATCAACAGGTGTTACAAGATTGACAATCTCTACTGGTTCTGGTGAAGGGTTTGTTATGGGTATGTTGATGGTTGTTTTGCTTTCTAGAGAATTGGGTTTGATCTTGTATCCTGTGATGGGTTGACTCATGTTGGTCTTGGTGTGCCTATCCTTGCTTCCAGGGATAGGCGCGCATCCCTATTGCCTATTAAAGTTTTGTGCTGGGGAAGTGGAATTGTGTATTGACATGTTAGTAGAGGGTGGTTGGTTGAATTTCTTCCGGCGGCACACATCAGCGGTATGATGCCAAATCTTACAAAATGAACACTGTGTATTATAAGCAGGACATAAAAATCGCCCAAGGCATGACTTACCACATCCCTGGCACGGTCTTCTGTTCTGAGGTTGAGGAGGCAGTTGAGGCTGGAAGGACTGTTGCTGCTGCTGGGGTTGATACCATTGTGGAGGAGAGGGCTGTTGAGGTTGGAACGCTTGTTGTGGAGGGAAGGGCTGCTGATATTGGTACGCTTGTTGTTGAGAGAATGGCTGTTGAACTTGGTACGCCTGATATGGAGAAAACGGCTGCTGGTGTTGTTGAACGTAAGGCTGGGTTGGAGGTTGCTGGAGCTGATGCTGAGATGAAGGTTGCTTATAGTTTGTTTTGTTGTGATGTTGTTTAGATGCTATCACAGACACTTCCTCTCTTACTTCCTGAATTTGATTTATAAGTTGAGTCTGTAGTTTGTTGACAAGCTCATCACACAGTTTTGTCATGGACAGCATGTTAACGCTGTCCGTGTCCGTTGTGCATGCTATTTCCTCTCTTGCCAAATCGACTGCATGCCGAAGGTCAAGGAATGTTTTTGGCTCTTTGCCCAATACTTTTGATTTCAATTTGGGTTGCAGTCCATTCATGGCTACTTGAACCTTGTAGCTTTCTACAATGGTATGTCCAAGGGCCAGCTTCTCCGCTCGTTCCAGGTACTTTTCCGCGGGTTCTTCAGAACTTTGCTTCAAGGAGGAGAACTTATTGTCTGTGGTCTTTTGACCAAATCTGTGTAGGAAGGATTCCTTGAACTTTACAAAATCTGTCCTCTCAGTATCTGGGAGGCCTTGCAACCACAGTGCTGCTGGTCCCTCCATGTTGAATGACATGGCAGCCAAGGTTCGTTCATTTGGCACATTATGAAACTTTTGCCATGACTCAAGGTTGGTGAGCCATATGACTGGCGAGTCAGTTCCATTGTATTTTTTTAGATTTATTCCTCCGGTAGCCATTTGAGGAATTAGTAGGTGGTCTTCAACAGGAGGAGGAGGAGGAGGAGGAGGAGGAGGTAGAGGTAAATCTTCTGTATCTTCCAGTTGCTGTTGTTGTTGCTGAGGAGGCTCCTGTTCACCTTCCTGTTGTTGTTGTTGAGGGGGTGGAGGCACCTGTTCACCTTCCTGTTGTTGTTGAGGGAGTGGAGGCACCTGTTCACCTTCCTGTTGTTGTTGTTGAGGGGGTGGAGGCACCTGTTCACCTTCCTGTTGTTGTTGTTGTTGAGGGGGTGGAGGCACTTGTTCACCTTCCTATTGTTGTTGTTGAGGGGGTGGAGGCACCTGTTCACCTTCCTGTTGTTGTTGTTGAGGGGGTGGAGGCACCTGTTCACCTTCCTGTTGTTGTTGTTGTTGTTGAGGGGGTGGAGGCACCTGTTCACCTTCCTGTTGTTGTTGAGGGAGTGGAGGCTCCTGTTCACCTTCCTGTTGTTGTTGAGGGAGTGGAGGCTCCTGTTCACCTTCCTGTTGTTGTTGTTGTTGTTGTTGTTGTTGTTGTTGTTGTTGTTGTTGTTGAGGGAGTGGAGGCTCCTGTTGTTGTTGTTTAGCCTTTTGTGGAGGTTTTTGCTGGACCCTGGTTTGGTGTGGTCTTTGTGTTACCTCTTCTCTTGCTGCTGCTGCGCGAGTTCTGCCCGGCTGGTAGTTGGTTGGTACGGTCACAGTTTTGTCTTTTCCTGTCATTTAGGAACTTGGGGATTCCCACCAATCTGTCATCGAGTTTTGTGTGGATGTTTTTGTTTTTGATACTGTAAAATATAATGGAGGCAGCCTGGTAAGTTTCATGTGTCTTTCTTTATTGGGGTCGCAGCTTCAAGTGACCAGCTGGACACGCGACACTACATACTCAGGTGCCCCCCGAATCAAGGTGAGGTACCAGGAGGGTTATTTAAGGCGCTACTATAATAAAGAATGGGTAATTTACCCTTAAGCGGCCTCATAAAAAAACTTATTTCCACTCTGACCTTAGCTCTGATTGGTCAAATGTTAGCGTGGGTTTGGACAAAGAAATTGGAGAAAAACAGCGATCTGACAGGCCGGTTATGCAAGATTACCTGAGCCTTAATTGACTCAAACACGTACGATAATTCTTTAACAAAGAACTGACGTTAGAGTAAGGGTCGGGCTAATTTCTTAATTGATGTCATAAAAGGGATTATCAGAAACTGACCGCGTTGCTGTACTGATCAAATAACCATATGTTGGAAAACCTAAATCTTGTTTGTTAACTTGTGTACGAGTTCAATTAACATGATTCCGAAAACAGTTATTTGATTTAGGTATTATTGTATTCAACTCTGGTTTTACAAAAATATACAGAAAAAGCTATAAAATCTCAATTTCGTTGAAATTTACTTTTTTAAAATCATTTTGTTATGTAAGTTATAAAAAGGTAAAATATCAGTATGATATATCCCTCCTGGTTGGGAAAAATCTTTGTCCTCAAAGATTAAAAGTAGTGGTATAAGCTGTATTTTTTTTAAAGGGAGATAACTCATACAAAAATTGTCATAAAAAGATACATGAACAGTAATTGACAATGATTCATCAATTGACAATGCATATAAAATTCTTTATATACACAAACATTTTTACTCATTTGAAACAACTCCAGCGGGTAGTTGATGACAATGAAGACATTTCTAATAAACGAAAAAAAAAAAAAACAGATTGCAAAAATAAAAAAAAAACTGTTTGAGCACCCAGCGTTTTACATAGGAAACATTAATGTCCATATGGGTGACACTACAATAAAAAAAAATCACAATATGGGTGAATGGAAAAGAGAAACAATATTTACAACAATCAGAGCAAATAAGTCATGCCAGAATGAATTTTATGTCCACACATTATCAATTTTTTTGTTACTTCAAAACCTGGAAGTACCCTTGATGGGTTAATATGAAATAGGCAGCATATGGGTGCCTCAGTAATTTTGTGATGCGCCGACTGTGGAAGGGGGAAATGTTAATGGTGCTTTTAGGGTAGATAGTTTGTTTAGTATGGTTATTGATGATGGAAAACTGATCCCACTCAATATGAAGAGACTTTAAGACTCTTCCTCTAAGTGTAACACCAGTAACATTAGTGGGTGGAAAGATTGTCCAGTTATTGGGACATAAGGGGAGGGAAGCCACCTGTACAAGCATACAATCATGGCCAGTGGTTAGTTCAAGGAAGACAGAGGTTTTGTGAGCAGATTGGAATTTTCTCCAGAAGATGTAAGCGGAGAAGAGGATGAAGGCTGTGGTAAGCAAGGATAAGGTTACATAAGGCCAGGGAGTCTGTAAGATGTTATAGAAGTGGTCAGTAATGGAAGGCGGGGTGGCCAAATCAGGGAGAGCACTGTAATGGAAACTGGGTACATCAGGTGGGATAGTTAGTGCAGAAGATGTCTGTGCTAACAATACAGCTGCTGAGAGTCGACGAAATTTTCGTAATATCCAAATAAATAACCCAATTGCTACCCAGGCTGAAGCTATGGCCGCCAACGCAATAATTCCACTAGTGTCAGGCCAGCTGCTGAAGGCAAATTCTAACTGACCATCTAACATGGATTCTGACAGTGTTTGAAATACTTTCTCATTTTGTTTTGTTTTCTTAACAATACGATCAAGACTGAGATGATACTGGTTATCGTTGGCCAAAGTTTGAGAAAATGAGTGATTGTAAATTTCAATATTTGGAATTTTTATGTGTACAAAATTTCCATAATTAGTGTCACCAAATATGGAGGCATGGTTTTCAGGCTCGAAAAAATGTTGAATTAATGCTAAGTTAACAGGATGTAGCACCGTAACATCTTTAGTGTCATTTTGACCTTGACCTAGTCTGGGTGGTAGATACAAATTACCTGAAGTCACTGAACATCTCGCGGGTACTTGCATTACACAGAAATGACAACCCTTCATCATTTTCTGTCCAGACGGGCAGTCTAACGCTAACATTTTGGTGTGATAATAATCAAATTTGAGGGTGAAAGTTCAATAATGCTAGTTTTGAGCGTGTTTGGGACAAAACGGAAATTACAAAAGGATTTGACCTGAGACTTTTGATTGTAAAAGATTGATGAATAACATGAACCAGATGCCACAGAACGTAATGCTACATGAAATGGACAATACATAATATCCTGTCCTGTACACTGACTAAGTTGGGTGTGTGACAAAACTGAGAAATGTTGATTATCACTAGTATGTAAAAAATAATCCGGAGTGTCTAGTAGCTGTGTGGCATGTGTTGATGTGGTATTGATTGGCACTGGGTAGGAGTACACCTTATACAAGGATAAAGGGTGAACAAAAGATGATATAGGTATTTTCAGTAGGATGTACAAATTGGAATGGTGCCTTGCATACAAAAAGTCAGCAAATGAATAGTAGTGTAAAGGGTCAAAATGAATAATATTTGTCCCAGGATATTTGGTAGATATAATGTTCTGAACCTGTTTAAGAGTAGATTTGATTGTCTGGGGGGACAAAATAAAGGGAGATAACTTGCCTTTAACAAAATCATGAATTGCTAGCTGTACGTGCTCTAAGTGTTTTTCTAAAACTGCACTAGCATTAATTTGTTTTAACATCCTATTTTCAAGCAATATGTACTCATGTTGCATTCCGTCTAAAGCGCTAGAGAATTGCTGTGCTAATGTTACAGACTCATCATGATTGACACGCACTGCTTTGAGAACATTATCAAATCGTTCATTGACTGTAGATACAAATGAGGTTAATTGATGAGCTTCATGGGCCATGGCTCTAGCAAGTTTAATATTGTTATTGTTCAATGTTTGCATGTGGTGTTTTAAGTTGTTCATATCACTTGCTGTTGCTGTTCCGAACAATGATTTCGATATCTCACCAATAAAGTCAAACAAACCTCTTTTTGATCTCCTGGAGCCAAATGTTATGGTTTTTGGGAAGTAAGAATGAGGGATAAGCTGATGAAGTTTTGTGACTGTGGAGTTGATACTAGCCATACATTGCATTCTCAAGGCGTTAAGAGTTTTCAAGACCACATTTGCAGGTTCACATTGTTGACTGCTACACTGAAGATCCCCATGAAGGTATACTCTAGACGGGAGTGGGACTTCAAAAGTGTGTGATCAGTATTCTTGACCAAGATGAAGTTTAGCTGTGGGGGTAAAGAGAATTCCATAGTTCAGTCTCTGAACTAATGATGGTGATGGTGCATTATCACCGGCCGCAAATGGGAGAATCACAAGGGTCATCACCGCAAGTAGGCTCAACAGAGGAGGAAGTCCAAAGATACCTAAGGAGAAGTAGACAGAAAGGATAAGATTAGCAACTTGTATGCCGTTATGAGATGTTGCAATCATCTCAAAGCACTAAATAAACAGACTTTGTATCTATTTAAATCTTAGCATTAAGTATGCTTAAGGAGAAGAATTAGATGGAAAATAAAGGAAAGGAATACCGGTAAAAGATATCTATGGACTAACCTATTTTGTGTATGATTTATTGCCGTGAAAAACAAGTCAGTTTTGACTGTTTACCCTTTTTACGAGCTTTCCCTGATTGCGTTTTAGTGATATGAAATTCACGAACCATGGCAGGGGGTAGGTTTTCTACAGGTTCCCAGGTTCGAACTGAATGACCAAGCCATTTCACACGAAATTCCTTGACACCGTTTCGAAACTTGTACTTTATAAGTTTTTCAATCGGGTAAGATTGCTGGTCATCCTGAGAAGCATTTGGGTTGGTTGGGTTGGTTGGGTTTGAAATGGGTTGTTGGACTGGTATGGGTTGTGTTGACTGATCAGCCGGTATGGTTGGGTTGGGTTGGTTTGTTTTGGGGTTAGGAGGGTTTGGTTGGGCTGAACTATCCGTAGGTGTTGGGGTGGATGAGGATGAGATCTGAGAAGACTGGGTTGGTTGGGGGAATTGGTCCGGGTTATCGACAAGTTGGTTTGTTGGGTTTGAGGGATCTGGTACTCGCTGATTTTCTGGGACATGAGGAACATATGGCGGACATGGTGGGGGATTCAAACTAGGTCTGTTGTCTGGGTTTGTATACAGTTTCAATCGATTGGCATGAATGAGAGATTTGACTTGTTTTTGCGTATTGCAGCGTCGGAGCTTATACGTGTGATTGGGACCTTTGTCGACAATGTAGTATGGTCCATCCCATGGATGGTGTAGCTTTGGTGACAGACCTTTGGGTACTTTAGGGGAATGGAGCATAACCAAGTCATTGACTTGGAATTCAGGTTCTGAAGCCTTTTTGTCGTATTGCTTTTTTTGTTTGGTTCTGGCCTCTGTTATGTTCTTATTAGCTGTTTGTCTAACATACTTGAGGTGATCTATGAGCTGGGTGACATGTGTTTTCGCATCTTTTCCAAGACCATCTTTTGGGATTAAGGCAGTATCAAAAGGTAAATTCATTTCCTTACCAAACAACATCTGGTATGGTGACATATTAGATGCTTGAGTTGATGGTGACATTCTAAAAGCCATTAGAATACCTGAAAGAAACTGAGGCCAGTCTTGTTGATTTTTATCAACATATGCTCTCAAGCACTGGGCAATTGTACTGTTCATGCGTTCACATGTAGAGTTGGTTTGGGGATGATATGAACTTGTAAAGTGTCTAGTCACTTGGAAGATTTCACACACAGCCGTTACAAGTTTACTCATAAAATTTTGCCCTCTATCACTGACAAT